TGTGTGTGTGTGTGTGTGTGTGTGTGTGTGTGTGTGTGTGTGTGTGTGTGTGTGTGTGTGTGTGCGCGCGCGCGCGCGCGCGCGCATGAAAGACTTAACCTAGATTTTCCTGTATCAATGGCCTGCTCTATTGACTCATATCAACACCTACAAACTTCAAAAAACACCTAAGAAAACAGGATTACAGGCATCACTGATGTTTATCAAATGATGCCCAGCACAAAATTTACTGAACTGTTTACTATACATTGAGAATTTCAGTGCATGACTGAACACTGGAATATGTGCCCCACACTGCTGCTATTCAGAACATACATTAGGACGTCACACAGTATGTAAGAGAACAAGACAACTAATTGCTTCTTACTTACCTCCTTCTACCTCCCCACACAAATCAACCAAACCAAACTTTATCATTACCTTCTATTATTTGACTTATATTTTTAATGGGACAGCTAGGTGGTGCGGTGGTTCGAGTTCTGGGCCTGGAGTCAGCAAGACTCATCTTCTTGAGTTCAAATCTGGCCTCAGACACTTACTAGCTGTATCACCCTGGGCGAGTCACTTAACCCTGTTTACCTCAGTTTCCTCATCTGTAAAATGAGCTGGAGAAGGAAATGGTTTAACCACTCCAATATCTTTGCCACGGTTTGAATCTGTCTTTTCTGACTAAATGGGGTCACGAGGAGTCAAATGCAGCTAGAATGACTGAACAACATCTTTTTGATTGCTGTTTGGTACTAAATTATTTTTTCACGGCCAAAGATTTTTTTTTTCTTAGTTCCAGGTTTTTAATTTAAACTAAGGAAGTTTTATTAAGCATTTATTTTGTGTAAGGCAATTTACTAGGCACTGGGGAAGATATACAGACAGATATAACATACCCTTTCCTTTCTGAGTTTATCATATAATGTTGGAGAAGGACAGAATCCAGGAAATGTGTTTTGAAAAAATAGAAATGAGGTCATTTCAGATGGTTGAGAATTGCAGAAAGATTATGTCAAGCTAATCTAGATTTTCCTCTACTTCTTCCCAAGTTTAATTACATTGAGTTTACTGAGGAGCCAGTTGGTATAGAGGGAAAAGATAGAACCAAAGTCAGTAAAGACAGATTCAAACCCTGCCTGCAGTACCAGTTACATGGCCATGGGCCAGTCACCTAACCATGCTGAACTTCATTTCCTTTATTTATAAAATGAGGTTAATAATACTTGTAGCACCCACGTGACAAAGCTTTTACGAAGCTCAAACAAGTAGAAAGCACTTCGTCAACTATAAAGAACAATTTCAATGTCACCTAGATGAGGGTGTGTATAATACACATTAGAAAGGTTTTCACAAAAAAGAATCGAAACAAAAGTTTTGGTACATAAAGGGATAATATTCATTTATCCAAAAAATTCCTTTATCCAGAAAACCAAATCCTATAACTCTTCTGAATAACTGAGGCTCACGGTATCGAGATGAACTTCTTTAGAATACATTCAGAATCCGTTATTCCCATGTCTGTGAAAAATTGTATTGATGTATGTGCATACACAATATATATATATATATATATATATAAATTATGTTATGTACATGTACACATACACAAAGAGGTACAATCTTCATCATTTCAGGAATTTATGTTCATGTATTTGGAGACTTGACTACAAATCCAGCTTCAGACATTTCATAGCTGTGTGACCCTGGATAAGTACTTCACCTCTTTCGGCCTCAGTTTCCTCATCTGTAAAATAGGGATGATGATAATAGTACCTACCTCTCAGGGTCATTGTGAAGGATCATATGAGGTAATATTTGTAAAGCATTTTGCAAACCTTAAAGTGCTATATAAATGATAGCTATTCTTTTCATGGTTGCTAAGAATTGGAAATCAAGGGGATGCCCATGCCCATCAATTGGGGAATGGCTAAACAAGCTGCGGTATATGATTGCGATATATATTATTGTGCTATAAGAAATGACAAGCAGGATGATTTTAGAAAAACCTGGAAAGACTTACACGAACTGATGCAAAGTGAAATGAGAAGAACTAGGAGAACATTGCATACAGTAACAGCAATATTGTACGATGAAGAACGGTCAATGAGTTAGCTCTTCTCAGCGATGCAATGATCCAAGACAATCCCAAAAGATTAATGATGAAGCATACTATCTGCCTCCAGAGGAAGAATGGATATTGTTTGAATACAGACTGAAGCGTGCTATTTTTCACTTTCTTTCTTTCATTCTTTTTTTTTTGAGTCTTCTTATATGAAATGACTAATATGGAAATATTTTACATGATTGCATATGTATAATCTTTATCTGATTGTTTACCGTCTCAGGGAGGAGGGAAGTGAGGAATGGAGGGAGTGATAGAATTTGGAACTAAAAATTTAAAAAAAAACCCCAAATGTTTAAAAAATTGTTTTAACATGTAATTAAGGGGGAAAATTATATTAAATAAGGAAAAAAACAATAGCTATTTTAAGTATTGCTATCCCTTCTTTAAATGATTTTAAGTACTATATAAATGTTACATAGTTATTATTAGATATTCATAGAAGCATAAAATTTTAGCACTAGAAGGAACCTTACAGATCCTCTAGTCCAGCCCCCTTATTTTATAGATGAGGAAACTGAAAGAGACAGTAGCACATTCAGTGTCACACAGTTAGTCAGGAACAGCTGAGAGCAGGCCTAGAACTTATATTACTAAGGGGAAATTAGAACCCTGAATTTCATGAATTTTCCCAGGAGTAAATAGATTCTATATAATTTTCAGCACTGCATTAAGTACAACTTTTGAAAAAACATGGAAAAATACATAATGATAAATTTCTTTCTGCAGTAAAATAACTAAAAATAATAGAGTTTGTCACCATGATTTCATTGCTGCTTGCTTGAAAAGTTTAGGCAGGCTACTGTTGTCTGTGGTCAAGGAGCTTGACTCTCTTGGTTCTCATACATACATACATGCATGCATACATACACATACATCATACATACATACACACACACAAATCAGAATGTTAGTTCTGGAAAGGACCTACAAGATCAAGAAGTCCTACTCATTTATTTTATAGAAAAGGGAAAAGGAGGACTTGCCAGACAGCTGGTGAGAGGCAGAGCCCTCCTTCCCCAAGGCCTGTGGAAGTGAGAGATTAGTCAGTTGAATCATCACCTGAACTCCATCATGCTATTTAATTTCCCTCATTTGTAAGCTGAAACCACTTTTCACTGACAATGAGTATTTATTTTCCTGAAAGAATCTGATACAAGCTAATTGAAAGTAGCTACTTATGTGTGAATGATGGTTATTTATATTTTGGTAGTTTTTCGTGAAAAAATATCTTAAGTTTTTAAGCAGAATCATAATGTATTATTATAGTAGAAATCTACTTTTACTGTCAATGGTTAATCCCCCCAAAGTCATAATTTTTAAGGAAAAAATAGCCAAGATGATGATGGTATGGAATCTGTTTAATAATTATTTTCCCTTTCTAGGTCTCCTACAATGGCTGGAGGTATTTTTGCTATAAACAGACAATATTTCTTTGAAATTGAACAGTATGACAGTGGTATGAATACCTGGGGAGGAGAAAATTTGGAAATTTCATTTAGGGTAATTCAGACTTTATGTTTGTTGAATTAGTGGTTTTCTATGTTAGAGAATAGAATCTGATAATGTTCATCCAGGGTTCTCTACTTTCTACTCATTTTCCCACATTATTATCACCAAACTGTGTTTGGCCAATCCCCAGTGAATATATCTTGGAACTATACTGGTATATGTAATTAATTATATATAAGAAAAATGTTATCAACATATATGAAAGACAACAAAAAATAAGAGGAAAGGGAGTTAGGAATAATACTTAAGATTTTAAATTTCTCTGTAACAAATGCACAGTGTGGATCACGAGCAATGTTAATTTTATTCTTAACGTCCAAAATTTATGAATAGAGGAAAAAGCTCTATATTAGAGTCACAAAAAAATGTTCTTATCTTGGCCTACAGGTCATTAATAATGCTCCTAAACAAGATGAAAGTTGGTTCTGTAATTTGTCACTTAAAGGTTAGAGCTGAAAGGGACTTTGGAGATTATCTAGTTCAGCCTCTTCACTTTGCAGGTAAGAAAGCCCCAAACACATTCAGTGACTTGGCCAAGCTTGTGCAAACAGTAGGTGACAGAGCCAGGATTCATCAGCCTTGGGTCTGCCCCTCTGGGTGAGCTCAGCACAAATAGGATCTACTCAGATATGCCTCCTGGCCCTGGAGTCCAATGCTGGTGACCTTATTTGTGCAGCTTTGATCAGTTGAATGGCACTTGTTTCTGCTGTCCAGGTTTACCACTGCTCTCCAGGTACCCTTTTTCACTGCCCACTTCTTTCGTGCTACCTCTTCACTCCTGCTGCAAGTTTGACTTTACCCTTAGGACGGGAGGGGCTAGTTTGTCAGTCAAAATCTGGCCAAATCATCCATGTGACTCAGGAGGGGATTAAGAAGGTCTGAAGAATCAGAGATTGGGACTTCTGCCTAAAGCACAAGTCATTCCTTCCTATCACCCTTGGCAGTGCTACACTAGCACAATAACTATTATTTAAGCAATGAGGATCCATTAGAGATTTTTGAGCAGAGGAGTGACTGGATCAGAGCCATGGATGAGGAAAATTACTAGATCATCAAGCGTGAAGGATGAATAAGAAAGGGGGTAGACCTGAAACAGGAAAACCTATTGAGCCAGTTAGAAGGCTCTTTTCATTTTCAGATGAAATGAGATAAGGGCTTGAACTGGAATGGTTGTGGTGGGAGTGGAAGAAAGGAACAGATTTGGAAGTAGACATGATAGGAGTAGACAACTGGAGCTCCAGGGCTTTGCATAAAAATATATTACTGCCACTCACTGTCCCATATGTCCTATACCCTAGGTCACACTGTTTCCCACTCCAACAAAGGCAATGCCTTCCAGAAACAGAATAAGAGGAACTCTTAGCTGATTCAGATAAGCTATGTAAGGCAACCCTGATTAATAACCTCATTTGTGAAGAGCTGCCATATGTAGGAAGCATCAGACAATTTGTTTAGAAGAAGACAGAACTAAATGGTAGTTACAGGGATGGGGGGGGCATTTTAGTTTAACATAAGGAATAGCTTTTTAACCATTAGAAACTATTTGAAAATGGAACGGGCAATCTCATGAGCTCTGAATTCCTTCTCCTGTCAGAAAAGATCCCTGCATTGGGTGGGAGATTAGAAAAGATGAAACCCAAGGTCCTTCTAACTCTCATATTTTATGATCCTATTAAGATAATATATAAGAGCATTCAACCCTCAGAGTATTATCTGGTAATATTTCAATATAATTAGGTAAAACAGTCTGCCAAGTTTTATAAGGATCTGTATCACAGTCATTTCCAAAGAACAGCAATCGCATCTCACAGTCAGAAGATGTTGGTTTCTGTTCCTTTTCTTATGGTTAGATCTGGATGTGTGGCGGCAAGCTCTTCGTCATTCCTTGCTCTAGAGTTGGACACATTTCCCGTAAAATGTTATCACACAAAGCCCGTGAAATCATGGACTCTTTGCAGTATAACTCTCTGCGGCTGGCACATGTTTGGTTGGATGAATATAAGGTAAGAATTAATTCCTAATTTGAAAAGAGTGAGAGGCACAGTAACTGCTATGGTTATGCTTTCTATTCCTTCCCTCTTCCAGTTTCAAATCCATTTATGTTCACATTTGATTGGCATCTTCTTTATTTCTATCCTTATCTTTGGGGAGGAGGTTTCTTTGTTTTCCCTGCTTATTCATCTTCATTATTCACTTCCCTGTCAATTCTGATTCTTATTTTTACTTTACTCTGTAAGAAACTTTAAATTCCTTAGAGGTAAGTCAGGCAGAGGTCAATATAAGTCCCTTTTCTCTCTTACTCACTTCATCTCTTCTTGGCATTATCCCTTTGGATCTATTCCTCACAGTAAATGAATGTATCCCTAGCCAACATGGCCTAGCTCCATTCCATCAGTTATTGGGTCTCTAATTAGTTTCTATTTCCCATCTTCTCTCTGCCAGGGCCCAAGGGAAGGCACATGGGGTTTGGGACTTGATGTTTCCAGTTTTCCATAGCCAGCAGAGGGCAGCAATGCCCCAGCAGTGATGGTGTTTTGGTTGTAGCCAAAAGAGCAGTGGGAAACAAGGCAATAAACCACAAAAGCTGGTGCTAAGAAAGTGGCACTTGATGGGGAATGAGGAGTACTTGGAAGAGGCTTAGAGAGTGTACCCTGTGATGTGAAAGAAGGAAGGTAATATGGGAGCATAGTTACGATACAATCCTAGTGTCCAAACCCTAGGGAAGAAGTCTAACAAGTCAATAAGGCTTGATGGAAGCCAACAGGAATATAATTCATCAAGATGTTAGAACTAGAGTCAAGGAAAGCAAAACCAGGAGAAGCAGACAAGTCATCAGAGTAGACAATAGAAGTAGCCATGGCTCACCAAAAGGACCCTAAGCCTGAGGGAGGGGTTTTGACCGATGGGATTTTTAGCTGCCACATCCTTCTCAGGATCTTTAAATGCCAGCACCTCAGCTGGCTAGGACCTGTTTTCCCTTTGGCCATAGTCAAAAGTTCGACAGCATCAAAAGCAAACAAAATGTTCATCTCCATTGATATATTCCCTTAAAGTCTGTGGTTCTGGCCATCGGATAGAATACATAGCCAGAAAACATAGAGATTTTTATTTCATTAGAACCATAAACTAACTGAGAGGCTTTTTTCAGATAAATAAGTAGAAATGTGGAAAGTAACTGGATATTAGTTTTGTTTCTGCCATGATTTAAGGAAGGAGTCAATTAAAAAAGCATTTATTTAAGTGTTTACTATGTTCTGGACACTGTAGAAAGGATACAAAGAAAGGCAAAAAACATGGTAACTATTCTCAAGGAGCTCACATTCTAATCGTGAAGACATGTAAAAAAGTTTACATACAAGATGTACACAATGTGTTCATACACCTCTTGCAGAAGGTAGAATCTGTGCTGAGTCTTGAAAGAATCCAGGAGACAGGGGTAAGGAGGCACAGTATTCCAAATATGGGAGACAAACGTGAAAGATGGAGTATCCTGTGCTAGTATCAGCTAATAGTCTGGTGGCTCAGAGAATTTGTGGAGGGAGTAAAGTGTCAAAAAGGAAGAAGAATAGGAAAGGTCCAGGTTGTAAAAGGGTTTCATCGTTAAACAGCATTTTATGTTTGATTTTCGAAGTAATTAGGAGCCACTGGTGTTTGTTGAGTAGGGAGGATGACATGATCAGCCCAGTGCTTTACGAAAAAATCACATTAGCATCTGAGTGCAGAATGGATGGGAGCAGGGAGAGCTGAGGCAGAGAGACTAACTAGAAGACTATTTCAATAGTTTAGGCAAGAAGAGATAAGAGCCTGCCCCAGGGTAGTGGCTGTGTGAGTGGAGATAAGTGGTCGAGAACAAAAGATCATGATGTGAAGGTAGAAATGACAAAGCTTGACAATAGACTGGACTGGTAGAATAAGTAGAAGTGAGGAGGCAAGGATGACACTGAAGTTAGAAGCCTAGATGATTAGAAGAATGGGGTGTCCTTAATAGTAGCAGGAAATTTGGTAAGAGGGAAGGTTTGGGAGAAAGATACTGAGTTTTGATTTGAGATGCCTACAGAACATCCTATTTAAGATATCCAAAAAGCAGTCATTAATGCAAAGCTAGAGCTCAGGAGGGAGAGTAGAGGTACATATGCATAGGTCTGGAATCATTTGCATATAGGTGATAACTAGTTCCATGGGAACTGATGATATCATCAAGTATAATGGTTTAGGGAGAAGAGAAGAGGAACCAGAACACACCCTTGGGAAACACCCACAGCTAGTGGGTATAACTTGGCTGAAGATCCAGCAAAGAGGACTGAGAAAGAATGGTCAAATAGGCAGGAGGAGAGCCAGGAGAGAGCAGTGTCTTGAACACCAAGAGAGGAAAGAGTATCCAGGAGGTGAAGGGGATCAACAGTGTCAAAGGTAGCAAATAGTTTAAGAAGAATGAAGACTGAGAAAGGGCCATCAGATTCGGAAATTAAGAGATCATTGGCAACTTTGGGGGAAGCAGTTTCAATTGAACTATTAGTTTGGGAGCCAGATTGTAGAAGGTTTAGAAATGAGTGAGAGAAGTAGGAATGTAGATTGCTTACTCAAGAATCTTAGCCTAGAAGAGAGAGAGATAATGATCAATGAGCGTTTTTTAAAAATGAAGAATACAAGGGCATGCGGGATGGCAACAGAGCCAGTAGAAAGGGAGAGATTGAAGAATAGGAACAGAATGGGGATGATGGTTGGGACAACCTACTGGACAAGACAGGAGGGAATGGGATTAAAAGTATACATTGAGAGGTCTGCCTTGCCAAGAAGCAGGGCTACCCCTTTATGTGAGAGCTGGGTGAAGGAAGAGATAGAGGGGGAAGATATCTGAGTGATGTGAGAAGAAGAAGAAAGAAGAGGCAGGTCTAAGCAAATGACCTCAATTATTTCAATGAAATATAAGGCAAGGACCTCAGCCAAGAGAGTAGGGGAGGGGTACTGTGATGACCTTGAGGAGGTATGAAAATGTTTAGAATAGCTATGGCACATGGGATGGCAGATAGATTTAAGAGATTGAAAGATTGCTTTGCTGTCGTGACGGTCCAGCTGAGATTAACTAACAAATTTTTAGTAGACTCAGTCAGCATGGTTCTATGATTTTCTCCAGCTCTCTTCAGTAGCATGTGAAGAAGAAGCAAAGGAGGCAGGTCAATAGTGTAGGTAATCTACATTTGAGTTTGGAAAGACTTGATCAGTAAAAGGAACAAGGGGGCAAGGGATCCGTGTAAAAGTTAGGGTAAAAGTTGATTCTTGATGAAGTGATAGCCTTGGAAAGAATCTGAAAGTGGAAGAATTGGAAATCATAATGACAGCAAAGATCAGTGTTGGAGTTGTAAGGCATAGGGAAAGATAGAATGATAAAAGATCATGGTCAGACAAGAATTTCAGAGTACATGAATATGAGCTATTAGTATTTCAAGTTTATGTCAATATTAATGTTTTAACTTTCAAAATGAGGTTTTATGTCACCAAATCAGAGTATCTGGGTGTTGGAAAAGACCTCAGAGGTCATCTAGTCTAATTAGTACCTGAAAAAGAGGTTCCTCAACAACATCCCCAGCAAGTAGCTAACCAACTTCTGTTAAAAAAAAAAAAAAAAAAGAGGTCTGGTAGACCCTGGGGCAAGTCACTTAACCCTGATTGCCTCACCAAAAAAAGAAAAAAAAAGAGGTCTAGTAATGGGAAACTTGCAGCCTACTAGAGCAACATATTCTGCTTTAGAGTTAGTTGTTAGAAACTTTCGTCATCCCTCTGGTTAAAACCTATTGTTCCTAGATCAGCCCTCTAGGGTCAAGCAGAACAAATATAATGCTTCTTACTGTGTAAGAGCCCTTCAGATCCTTGGAGATAGCTTTCATGTCTCCCCTAACTTTTCTCTTCTCTATGCTAAACTTCCTCAGTTCTTTTCCATCAAATCTAACATGACATGGTCTCTTGTCCCCTTGACACCCTGATTAACTTCCTATAAATCTCTTTCAGGTTTTCCATGTCCTCAGAATTACATTCTAACCCTAATTCTGTTTCTAATCCTAATCTAACCCTAACCCTAACCTCTGGATTTCCCCTCCCCCCTTATTTCCAATTTAGGAGCAATTTTTTTTACAAAGACCTGACCTGAGAAGGAAAGAGTATGGAAACATCAGTGAGCGCATTGAATTGAGAAAAACACTGGGTTGCAAATCATTTCAGTGGTATTTGGATAACATCTATCCAGAATTGAAGCTATTTCCACTCTCTGCTAAAGAAAATTAACCTTTCTGAATAAAGAGGAAATCAAAATGACCTCATATTCTGCAACATAGAAGAATGAGAAAATAATCCTATCAGGGAGCTTCCTGTGCATTATGAAAGCTGTGAAACACATGAAAGATGCAATAAATGGTGTTCTAAAAAAATGTTAACTTCATTTATTTAATGATAACCCATAATGCCTGTTATTGCTCTGGCCCTAAAAGATACTGACTTCATCTTTCCATGGTCAAGGACTTGGAAATTTCATATACAGGTAGGGCTGTCACACAATCCACTTTTAGATCTTATCATAGGTTGGGATAGAGATAACGCTATACAATGGGTGCCACACTTTTCTACTCTGTAATGGTCAGGAACTGACTTCATTCGCTAATCTGACCAGGTGATCTAAGGTAAGTTCCTGATCACAGAAATATATGGGGAACAAATTCTGGCTGTCAAACTCCTTTCTTACCATCTCAGCCTTGTACCTATTGCCCAAATTTCTTTGACTGCGTTCTTAATATGACTTTTCCCAGATTTGTGTTTCTGTTCCCCATTTCTATAGCCTACTCATCTGGTTTTCTGATCACTGATGTCTGGTCAGTTTTCCTGTTTGGTTTTGTCCTACTCCCTAGCACAGCTTAGAGGTAGCTAGGTGGCCCAATGGATAGAAGCCTAGCCCAATGGATAGAAAGAAGACTCAAGCTCAAATGTGGCTTCAGATACTTACTAGCTCTGTGACCCTGGGCAAGTCACTTAACCTGTCTACCTCAATTACTTCAACTATAAAATGGGAATAATAACAGCAGCACATACCTCTCAGGATTGTTGTAAGGTTTAAATGAGACAACATTTTTAAAGTATTTAGCTTAGTGTCTGGCATATGGTAGGTACTTAAGACGTAAATACTTGTTCCCTTCTTTATTTTCCCTGTCCACCCTCTCTCACAATGTATATACTTGCAAACTAATAGTTTTAGATTTTGCTGACCTGACCCCTGAATACCCATCCTAATATCTTACCTAATGACCCATGGCTTATTCTATCTTCATTACTTATATGAATCCAAGCCTAGACTAACCTTAATGTTGCTGAATTCTGGCCTGACCCTTCACAACATCATGTAACTTCCCTCATCCATTGTTTTTACAGTCTGCCTGACTGTAACACACTTTTAGATGTTTAAATTTTTTACAACATACATCAAGAGCTGGTGAAGTCATGGGGAAAAGCTACTATGTGCCTGCCAGTAGAAGTGATGAAGTCTTTGAAATGTCTTTTTCTTCACTAAAATAATAAAGAAAATGAAAGAAAAGGAGGAAAAAGAGCATAATTTGATGAAAGGGGGAAAAGAAAAAAGAATAAAGGATAGGCTTATTAAATACTTAAATCAACAAGAACAATTGGAGTGAAGACTATGGTTTTTATTAGGAGAAAGCATGACTGTAAAGTTTTCTGGGGGAAAATAATATATGTAGATAAAGAGTTACCAGTATATATAATTTTTTTATACTTTTGAAAAACCTCTGATGCTGTCCTATACCAAAGGCTGTTTTAAAAATTGAATCACCAATGGGATTAGAAGAATGTTTTATTATGGATATAGAATTGGCATATGGGCAGAAAACAAAGGGTAAGGATAAGCAGACATGTATCTGGAGAGAGAAGTAAAATTTCTGAAGGATCAGTGCTAGGATTAGGAGGCAATATGCTGTAATGCAGTATTTATTAAATTGTGTTCTGTGGGATCTTGGGATTCCACAAAGCAGTCCAAAAGGAGTTTGAAAAGAAAAGAAGTTGTAGGGACAGACAAGTACAGAATCGTATCTGCTTTCTTTGCTACATATATATGAATATATATAGATAGATAGATAGATTGATTATACAAGGTGTGTGTGTGTGTGTGTGTGTGTGTGTGTGTGTGTAATGCAACAAAAAAAACCTTAGGTTCTTATGGATTTTGAATTAATTATTTAATAGATTCAACATTTGTTGATTGCTCATCTACCTTGGAGTTTTTTTTAACCATAAATTGTTTTTTGTACACAAATTCCATAGAGAACTTGCTAAGTTCCTCCAAATTAAATCAACATACACTTTAGGTGGCACAGTGGATAGAGCTCTGGGCCTGGAATCAGGAAGACCTGGGTTTAAATCCAGCCTTAGATACTTGACAGCTGTATGACCTTGGGCAAGTCACTTAACATGTGTCTGCCTCAGTTTCCTTAAATGTAAAATGATGATAATAAAAGCACTTACCTCCCAGGGTTGTTATGGGGACAAAATGAGTTAATTAGTTTGTAAAGCACTTAACACAGTATCTGCCACATAGTAGGTCTGATATAAATGTTAAATATTATTATTATTATTATTCCAATAATGATTTAATTGCAAAGATGGGCATAAAGGAAGATAATAAAAAGATGTTGGAAAACATGGCTCAAGATCAAGAAACAAAAGGTTTCAAATGCCCATAGATGGCATTCATGCTTATACACTTATGGGGCTTGGAGTCAGACAGTCTGAGTTTGAATTCTGGCTCTGTCCCTTACTCCCTTGATGATGTTGTATAAAGTCATTTATCCTCTCAGTTTCCTTATCTGTAAAAAGAGGAAGTTGAACTAGTATTAATACCTTTCCCCTACTCTCCCTTTCCCCAATTACTTTGTATTATATGTATATGTAGACCTGTTCTCTCAGAACAGAATATAAACTCAAGAGCAGAGATTGTTTGATTTTTATCTGTGTATCCCTAGTGCCTAGTATAGTTCCTGGCACAGAGTAGCATTGGAATGAAATTAAACAAAAAGGTAAACTGAGGCACATTTCTCCAAGCAAGATAGCATTTTATTCACAGGGTATGAATCCTGAGAATAAAATGGGTCCATGGCTTCCCTCCATTTATGCTAAAGACTCTGAGCAAAAGGACAGCTCCCCGTTTTTGATAGGTTTTGAAGAGTACAGAACAAAGAGCAGAACAGAGTCGGTGACATCATGGTGCTGAGGACAACATGATTGGTTATGGGGCTGAAGCGTGGAGAGTAATATGATTGGTTGGAAGTTGGGAATTGGGGCTAGCCACAACCCCCTTCCTTCCTTCCTGTGACAAAGAAGTATGTATGAGTCTCCCTGCAAGATAGTGGCCTAGACTTGTTTGGTTAGCAAACCAGACATCTTTGAAGGACAGTTTGTTTGTATAAAGATATTAGGCCTGACTTCCTTGTGGCAAGCTTCATCCCCCAAGGCTAGCACAATTCCTTGGGGCAAGAATAGAACAGTGTTTGGTAAGAGAACTGGATTTCTAAACTTAATCCATTATAGGCTGGCTGAATTCTGAACTAAGTTCAGAGGCAGAGAATTATGACTTACTTAGGCAGTTACAGGAGCAAAATCAATTAACTGTAAATAGGAGTGATAAGAAAATGATACAGGACTAGTTTTAATCTTCCCAGTAGGTACTTAGCAAATGCTTGTTTGTTGATTGACTAAGTGACCTCTGCGGTCCCTTCCAGTTGTAAGTGTATGAATACTTTGTTCAAGAAAAAAGTTAGGAGATGGTAAGTATGGAATAACATCAGAAGAAATAGTTAACTATATCTTTTCAATACCTTTCTATTTATTTTGTTAAATATTTTCCAATTACATTTTTTAAAATTTGGAGTTCCTAATTCTCTACCTCCCTCACCACTTCAGAAGACAAGCAATATGATATCAATTATACATGTGAAGTCATACAAAACACATCACTTCTATATTAGCCATGTTGCAGAAGGAAACACATAGAAAGGAAGGAAGGAAGGAAGGAAGGAAGGAAGGAAGAGAAAGAAAGGAGGAAAGAAAGAAGGAAGGAAAGGAAAGATGGAAGGAAGGAAGAAAAAATATGCTTCAATCTATGCTCAAAGTTCATCAGTTCTCTTTCTGAAGATGAATATTATTTTTCATCATGGGTTCTTTGGAAATGTCTTGGATCGCTGTCTTGATCAGAGTAACTAATTCTTTCACAGTTGATCATCCTTACATTATTGCTGTTAATTTGTACAGTGTTCTCCTGGTTTTCCTTATTTCATTTTATTTCTTTTTTTTTCTTTTTTAGGCAATTGGGGTTAAGTGACTTGCCCAGGGTCACACAGCTAGTAAGTGTCAAGTGTTTGGTCTGAGGCCGGATTTGAACTCAGGTCCTCCTGACTTCAGGGCCAGTGCTCTATCCACTGCGCCACCTAGCTGTCCCCTAGAGCATTTTTTCATTTGAATATTGATAGTTTTGATTTTTTCTTCTGAAAACTGCCTGTTCATTTCTTTTGACCATTTATCAGTTGGGGAATAGCTTTTTTAAAAATAAATTTGGCTTAGTCCCTTATATATTTGGCCTTTATCAGAGAAACTTGCTGTAAAATTTCCCCCCAATTTCCTATTTTCCTTCTAATTTTGGCTACATTAGTTTTCTTTGTGCGAGGTGCCTGTATCTTAACATATAGGACTTATACTGACAGCTGATTCCAAAATTACTCCCACCTAGATAAACACTCTTACTATGTGCCAGGCATTGAAGGACTGATCAACTCTCAAAACATCTTTAAAAAGCATAGCTACTGAATAAGTGGGAAAATCAAGGATGTTATTGAAATGCATAAAGAAAATTGGTATGGAGCCCAACTCGCAGTCATGACACCATGGTTATGACCCAAAAAGAGATATGACTGTTACTGTAGTGTGTTTACTGAAGGTCCAAGCACTAAATGCAGCCAAAAGGCCAAAGAGATGTTATACTGCACCAAGAAAGACATTAGAAATAAATAAAACATTAAACTGCTCATATAAAAGTATAGTGTATCTTTGCCTGGTACACTCTATGTCCAGATCTCCCTAGTTTTGTTGGATGAATACCCCAAAGCAGAAAGGATGGCTCAGGGAGAGTGTTCTCAGGGACTCATCAGGATTCATGACATTAGAAGTGGAACTGTTAAGTGATTGTGAAGATACAGTCTGCTTTAGATGATCATCTGAGAGCTGTTTGTGGT